AGAGGGGCCGCCCGAGGTTGCACATTGAAATGATACTATTTTGGGGGCCATATTGGATTTATGCAAATGGATTGTTGTTAAATCAAATCTTTCACAATTACATACATTCACACACACCAAACCATATCACAGCAACTTGAATATCTAAAAAATATAGAATTAAAGATATGTCCTAATAGTTGTATTTTCTATGTTGTAAAAATGCACCAAACGACCATTTTGAATTTTGAATATATGCAAATTAGGTATATTTCAGAAGCCTAGATTTTCCCAGACTTTTAGTATGTCAATCTAGGCACCTCCCCGGAATGTATTGTGAAGAAATTATTTCTGTTGCAATTTGTGATGGGTCAAACCATAAATTGGTGGATAACTATTTGGAGGACAGATAATGTTGTGAGCTGGTTTTTAGCGTGGATAATGATGTCAGTCGGTTTGGAGGATGAATAATGATATTAGCCGGTTTGGAGGGTGGATAATGTCGTTAGCTGGTTTTAAGAGTCGATGATGTTTTAGCTGGTTTAGATAATGTTGTGAGTTGGTTTGGAGGGTGAATAATGTTGTTAGCTTGTTTGCATGAGTAGATAAGGATATTAGCTTGTTTGGAGAATGAATAAATCTTTTAGCTGGTTTGAAGGGTGGATTTTATGAGCTGATTTGGATAATGTGAGCTAGTTTTGAGAATGGATAATATCGTTAGCTGGATTGGCGGTTGAATATTGTCGTTAGCTGATTTTGAGGGTAGATAACGTTGTGAGCTGGTTTAGAAGATGGGTAATATTGGAGAGTGGATAATGTTATTAGCAGGTTTGGAGGGTAGATAATCCTGTGAGCTAGTTTGGATGGTTGATAATATGTCCTGGTTTGAAGGTTGCATAATGTTATTAGCTGGTTTTGAGGTTTGATAATGACACTAGCTGGTTTAGAGAGTGGATAACGTGAGCTGGTTTGGAGTGTAGATAATGTTGTGAGCTGGTTTAGAAGGTGGATAATGTTGTGAGCTGGTTTGGAGGGTTGATCATGTGAGCTTCTTTAGAGAGTAAATAATGCTAGTAGCTGGTTTGGAAGGTGAATAATGTTTATAGCTAGTTTGGAGGATGGATAATGAATGTTTTCAGCTGGTTTGGAAAGTGGATAATGTTTATAGCTGATGCAAAGGATGGATAATTTAGTTAGCTGGTTTGGCTTGTAGGTAATGTTTTTAGGAGTTTGAAGGGTGGATAATGATGTGAGCTGGTTTTGAGTATGGGAAATGTTATGAACTGTTTTGGAGAGTGGGTAATGTTGTGAGCTGATTTAGAGGATGGATAATGTTTTAGCAGGTTTGGAGGATAGATAATGTTGTGAGCTGGTTTTGGGGGTGGATAATGATTATAGCTGGTTTTGAGGATAGATAATGTTGTGAACTGTTTTGGAGAGTGGGTAATGTCGTGAGCTGATTTAAAGGATGGATAATGTTTTAGCAGGTTTGGAGGATAGATACTGTTGTGAGCTGGTTTAATGGAGGGTACATAATGATGCTAGGTGTTTTGAAGGGTAGATAATGTTATTATAGATGGTATGGAGGTGGATAATGATCCCAGTCGGTTTGTAGAGTGGATAATGATGTTACCTGGTTTGGAGGGTGGATAATGATATTACCTGGTTTGGAGGGTGAATAGTGTTGTGAGCTGGTTTGGAAGCTGGTTTGGAGGATGGAAAATTGTGTTTGGCTGGTATGGAGGGTAGATAATGTGAGCTGGTTTAGAAGGTGGATAATAGTATGCGCTGCTTTGGAAAGGGGATAATGTTATTAGCAGGTTTGTAGGGTGGATAATGACATTAGCTGGTTTGGAGAGTGGATAATGTGAGCTGGTTTGGAGTGTAGATAAAGTTTAGAAAGTGTATAGTATTATTAGCTGATTTGCAAGGAGGGTTGATAATGTGAGCTGGTTTGGAAGGGGGATAATGTTGTGAACTGGTTTGGAGTCTGGATAATGTGAGCTAGTTTGGAAGGTTGATAGTATGTGAGCTTGTTTGGAGGGTAGATAATGTTATTAGCTTGTTTGGAGGGTGAATAAAGTTGTTAGCTGGTTTGGACGGTGGATAATGTTGTTAGCTGGTTTGGAAGTAGTACGTACGTATTTGAAATATTTGACACTTGTTTCTGTGTCACTGTTATATCGTGTTACATTCTACAGTGAGGCAAACCGTGCGGGTTCAGAGCAAATCGACGAGGGTGGTGGGACAGCGCATGTACCATGTCAGGTAAGAATATATTTATACCAAACACATTGAAATGAACACGTACACTTGTCACCAGTGAATCATTAAAATAAACGTTCCACAAATAAACTATTGTATTACAATATTACTAGTTAGGTTATTTACCAACTTTCTTCAAATAGTGAAGGTGTGTGTAAAAACGTTTGAATAGTGTCAACCCCTAACGTGAAAAAGAGAGTGAACACATAATTTACAAGATGGTAATCATATTTGCTGCGATGAGCAAGCTCAAAAGGTGTGATGTAATTGTTCATGATGTCGCTGTTTTCATACTTGCAATAATATTTGCTCACACAACATTCTCATAGCATAGACCCCTGGGTCTAACTGTTGTGCGCAAGTAGTGATTCATTATTCAATTTCAGAGAGCACGTATAAATATTATATTACCCATAGATAGATACCACTCACATACCACTCTCTTTAATACAGGTTCAAGACAAAGTGGAGGCTGTATACATGTTCCCATCTTGTGATGATGGCCGCAAATTTAATTTAGAAACAAAAGACGAAATACGTAAACTGAATCAAGATGTTAATACGCTACGGGGCAAGATCAGCTTACTAACATCACAAAATGAGGAGATAATTGCAAATCAAGAAAGGCAGACGCACAAAATCACACGAATTATCACTGAGCTACAGCAACGTCTTCAACAACTGTCAATTAAGCCCGACGCCGTATTAGATAACATCCTTTCCAAAATCATTGAGGAAACGAGTGGAAGGAGAAACCAAGCATTGACTGTACCACCACTACATCATGAACAAAAAGACGAAAACGACAAAACAACTCTGAAAGATTCAGCATATTTCTCAGTAAAGGCTGAGTCATTAATAAACCTTGAGTCTCATAGCAATCACGATTAAAACAGACGGTTTGTATGATAAAATTACTTGGAATTGAATCCTAGTTTGTACACAGGATTTATCCTCAATTTATGAGTTAATTATTCATTGAATTTTCCACTGTATTTCTTAAAGCCGTGAACGTTTTGTTGTATGAGAAATGATCACATATTTACACCGAAAGACGACCGCGCTACTTCAAAATCATTGTCATCGGCTCAGTAAACCACCCGGTAACGCATATTATTCATGAGTCTGTCCGTCCTTCCCCGCACTCACCGCCGATATTAAGCAGGTCCATGATCAGAAATATTCAAAATGGCATTGATATTTATTTCGTATATTACAAGTAGGATTGACACCGATTCAACAATTTAAAGCGGGGGAGTCGTCACCTGCGCGTGCATCAGATGGCCATATAGCGTGTCATTGTTTACAAACAAGCGTCTACCTACGAGTCTTTGCGTTTTTAGCGTGTGTTGTTATCGTCGCTTGGGACTCAATTCCCGCGCGTGCGCAGATGACGACCCTCCCGCTTTAACATAAAAACATTTATCACAGTAAATCATTCTAAACTTGTTTGGTGATTCCCTTACATGCAGGTCATTCATATTTATGTTTTTACAGAGAAGGGAGAATGTGTTTCCAAGAAAACAAGTGCAAAATAATCCCCAAAGCGGCAATTCTGGAACATTTTCCATATGATTTTATGCACATCTTATACTAATATTCAAAATTCTCCCATTTTCGTGACAATCATAGGTAACACTTGTAATACTACATATAATTTTAGCATAGGTCACCGAACACAATTTTGCGATATAGTGGATTGTAAACATTAAAACGCATTTTTGATAATTTTTTGGGAACGTTTTGTGAAAAAAATAGTTCGATGACCCTATGATTTTATTTCAGAATTTTAAACATTACAGTCCCCTAACCCCTCTTGTCTGATTTCAAGGATTTTGTGTATTGTTTTAATAGTAGAAAACTACATTAACATTGTTGAACATGTCGTTTTCAATCATTTGACATTTATGCAGTGGAACGCTTATGAATATTTTTTACCGGGATACAGCATATATAATTTAATTCAGTAATTTGACTATAAATGAATGAATTAGTATATTCCTGCATGTAACTTGCATTTAGTGTTGCAGTAATGATATAGTTGTTTTCAGCAAGTCCACACCAATGAAATTACATTATAATGTAAAGAAGTACTGGGACTTGTACATTTCGATGACCTGTAAAGTACGTTATTCTATATTTGTATATTTGAGATTATTGTATGTATTGCTTCCCATCGTTCAACGCATTGAGATCACCAGTAGCTGATAATATAGACAGATGAAGACAAGGCGACTTGTATAACGGATACTTGCTTATTCATTATTATTTGCCTTCTGACGTAACACATGTAAAAGATACAATAAAATTTTTGATATTTGACCTATGAACCAGTTAATATATATGCAAGCAAGTTAGAAGGTCTTTAATTAACACGTTATTTGTGCTGGAAGCATGAATTGGGGAGCACAAAGCCAACAGGCAATGTGTTTTAATTCATTACCAAACATCGTTGTAAATAAGTACACATATTTACAACGGTCATATAACTCAGTCTATGCAAGGGGTTTTTCCAGCTATATAGGTTGACGTGATGCTAATGCACGTAAGATTCTATTTATATCACAAGCGTACATTGTATGGGGTTCTGTTCACACTGTTGCCAATGTACGCGCAGCTACACAGTTCAAAAGGTCAATCAATGTGCCACAGGAGGACAGTTCATTTCAGTTCAATCGTCAGGCTGTTGATTGGTTGAGTTCACCACCGTGTATTGACACCACTATAAATTCAGTAAAATGATTATATCACTAGGCAGCCCTGTTTTAACATGACGTCACACATAATGTGCTAAATAAATCATTCGAAACTGT